TATCATGTTCAGTATGTGGGTGTTTTAACTTCTGAAATCATCTGTCTGAAATGTCCGTGCAAGATTTCAAAACTAGAAAAACATTTCTTCAATATCTCTTTGCAATGCATTTAGCTGCCAGATAATACAATGTCAGACACTCCCCGTGTCGTCACTCTTAGTGATTGACATTTGCTCCTGCTCAAGCCTCAGTATTTCCTGATTGGGAAAGCAAACGGCACTTAATGCAACCATCATTACACACAGCTCATGATCCCTGGATTCGGGACAAATTCCAACAAGTAAGTGACGGCGATTTTTAAAATCCTATTCTTGCCAAAATGGGAATAAACTTTGCTCAGTCCCATCCCATTTGTAACTTTATTCTTACTGGAGACTGTATTTGAATGGTATGAAACAGAATTGTTCCGACAGGTGAGGGATTTTCCAGACCCGAAACGTCAACTTCCCTGCTCCTCTGATGCTGCTTGGCCTGCTGTGTTCATCTAGCTCTACACCTTGTTATCTCAGATTCTCCAGCATCTGCAGTTCCTACTGTCTCTCTAATACTACGTGCAGTTTTGATCTCCGTTTTAAGGAAGTGTATGAATACATTAGAGGCAGTTTGGAGGAGGTTTACTGGCTTGACACCTGAATGAGCTGGCTGTTTTGTGACATTGAAAAAAAACACAAAGTGCTCAGCAGGTCTAACAACATCTGTGGAGAGAGAAGCAGAGTTAATATTTTGACTCCAAAGGATCTTCCTTGGAACACGAGATGGCTGGAAAATTATGGTTTTTATGCCATTAACCATAAGGGTGGGGAAGGCGGAAGTGGAACAGATGATGAAGGTGTCCACTGCAAAAGACAAAGTTGATGCTGGTCAAGAGAGATTGAGATATAAAATTCACGTAAGCAGTCGATTTGAATTTAAAGAGAATAGGGTCAGATCAACTGAGAGCAAAGATAACAAGATACAAATGACACGTGGGGTTATGGTCATCAGAATGGACAGCAGTGTTTGTGCTCTTAAATTGTTGGAATTAATGTTGAATCTCGAAGGCTTTAAAGCTCCTGAGTGAAAATGAAGTACTGTTCCTCCAGACGTTTTTATTCCAATTTCCACATATTCTGCTCCGAGCTGGCTATCTTTTGAGGAGCGTTCTGGCAGTGTTTCTATTGGGGTTTAAAGAAGGAGAGGTGATGTCATTGAATTGTATAAGATCCTCAATGGTCTTGACAAGGGCGACATTGGAAGGATATTTTCTCATGTAGTTCAGTCCAGAACAAGGGGAAACTGTTTAAAAACTCGGGCTGCCCAAAGGACAGAGAGGAGTCAAAACCTTTTTCCTCTCAGAGGGTTGTGTAACTTTGAAACTCTTTGCCTCAGAAGGCAGCGAGTGTGAGGTCACTGAGCATTCTTAAGACAGAGGAAGAAAGATTCTTTTGGGGCAGGGAAGTCAAAGGTCATTGGAAGTAGTTGGGAATGTGGAATCCAAACCACAGCCATAATCTTATTGAAGGAGGGGCAGCTCCTGTTCTTATCTTTCTATGTTTCTATAATATTAAATATTGGTCCTGTAAAATATTAATGCGATTTGCTGGAGCAGTTTTCAAGTCATTTCCTGTAAAACTAAACAATACGTTTCTCACTGCGGTTTCCCTGAAGGTGCAGCAAAAAGCTGAGTCAGACAGAGCAGAAGGGAAGGGTACTGGCTGAGAAACTGCAGGAGATGGTTAAACTGGGAGAGTCTGTTTCTGACGTTTTCCCCTCACACAGCTGAACACATAAAAACACGAAGAGAAAATTTATTTGAAGAGCAACTTTCATGGTTTCCGAATGATCAATAATGTCTTAACAGTCAGTGAGGTGTTCCAACAAATTCGCATTTGTTGCATCATGAAAGGCAGCTGTCTCGAGCTGAGGGTACGCCCAGAATCCTGTTAGGGATGGACTTCATGGATTTCTACCCAGCGTCACTGACGGAACGGTGATATCGTTCCTTAGGTGGGGAACGTGTAGCTGGTTTTGGACCCCTCAGCCTGATGCTCTTGTCCTTCTGGTTGGTTGAGGTTTCAGGCTTGGGAAATGTGGTCAAAGAAGTCTGTGTGTGTTTCTGCAATGCTTTTCTTATTGCATGGTACACACTGTAGCCACGGCACACAAATGGTGACGTGGCAAAGCTTTCAAGGCAATGCCAGCCCTGAGGGTAATTTGTTCTGGATGGTCTTGAGCTCCCAGCTGTATCCAGGGCATTCAGCTGTTTTTATGATATTAAAATGAGTTAAAAATATTAATTGAAAACTGACCCAAACAATATATATATAATATATAAAGGCATGGGAGGGAAATATGCATAATCTCTTTCGGACTCAATGACGCACAATCACCGATCTGACCTATTGCTGATTTATTTTCCTAACTTGTCCAACATCCAGAACTAGTTCAACAGGCATTTTGTTAATTTTAATACCATGAAATATTTATCATTAAGTTTGCAGTGAATTGGGTAGCAAACTCAGCAGCTTTCAACCAGGTTCTTTTCTCCTCTTCATTGAAGTCGTCTTCAATTTCATTCACCTTTGGATTTTGAGGATTCACCACATTCTCTGAAATTCCTGTATTGCCAATGGTATGTGTGTCACTTCAACCTTCCTGTCAGCTTCAACCCACTCTTCGGTTTCACAATTGCTGTGTTTGTGACTCAGGTCTGTGGAAGGAGTTTCGTTGTTCTGCTGCTGTTGTCATGATACACCACATTCATCTGTCTGGTACCATTCTCTCACATGCACTGCAGCTCGTCTGCAACCACTCTGTGACATCGACTGCATCAATAGCCACCTTTCTTTCTTCTGTTCTCCACTTCTGTTTTTCGATCTCTACCTCTCCCTTTGCAGCTCTGATCACATGTCCCATTACTAACGTTTTCTTTACAAGAGGTCAGTTTTATGGTTAATTTTGCTCATTTCTGTTTTGGCCTGAATGTGGAATTTATAGCATACACCCTAGTATTCACATTTTAAAGATCTCTATTTTCTTCTGCAGGTCCTTACTTATTGTCCACAGTTCTGAACAGGATGTAGTGTTTTACAAGTTTTATTCATACTTCAAGTCTGAGTTTTCTTGTAGCTTCACAAAACCACTTATTGCTATCCCTCTATCCTTTTTCTAGCATCTCATCTCCTGTCCTCTGATATAATTTGTCCCAAAGAGACAAACGTACTGACTTGTTCAAGTGTGACACCATAAGACCATCAAATGGAAGAGTGGAAGTAGGCCATTCAGCCCATCGAGTCTGTACCACTATTCAATGAGATCATGGTTGATTTGAAAGTTGTCAACTCCACTTTTCTGCCATTTCCCCACAACCCTTGCTTCTCTTACTGATTAAAAGCTGTCTATCTCAGCCATGACCACTCTTGAGAACCCTTTGTGGTAAAGAATTGCACAGATTCCTTGCCCTGTGGGAGAAGAAATTGCTCCCCATTTTTGTCTTCAATGGGAACTGTATGGAGGATACAGAGATTGCTGCACATTTACAGAGGCATGAACTGATTAGAGATAGTCAGCATGGCTTTGTGCATGGCAAATTGTGTCTCTCAAACTTGAGGATGAGATCAAAGAGACAGATGAGGGCAGAACAGTAGACATTGTCTATACGGATTTTAGTGAAGCCTTTGACAAGGTTTCGCATGGTAGACTGATTTGCTAAGTTAGATTACATGGGACTCAGGGAGAGCTTGCCAACTGGATACAAACTTGGCTTGATTCTAGGAGACAGAGGATGGTGGTGGTGGGTTGATTTTCAGATTGGAGGCTTGTGACCAGCAAGGGTTCCAAAGGGATTGGTGCTGGGTCCTCTGTGGTTTGCTATTTACATAAATGATTTGGATGAGATTTTAGGAGGCATGGTTAGTCAGTTTGCGGATGACACTAAAATTGGTAGTATGGTTGACAGTGAAGAGGATTATCTAAGATTACAAAGGGATTGATCAAAAGGACCAATGGGCTGAGGAGTGGCAGATGGAGTTTAATTTGAATAAATGTGAGGTATTACATTTTGGTAAAATGAATAAGGGAAGGACTTGCAGCTAGTGATATGGCTCTGGGTAGAGGTATTGGACAGAGAGACCGAGGGGTTCAGGTACATAATTCTTTGAATGTTGCATCACAGATAGACAGGCTGGTTACAAAGGTGTTTAGAACACTTGCTTTCATTGCTCAGGCCATTGAATACAGGTGTTGGAACATTATCTTGAGGTTGTACAGGACATTGGTAAGGCTATGTTTGGAATACTGTGTACAGTTCTGATCACCCTATGATGGGAAGGATATTATTAAATTGGAGAGGATTCAGAAAAAATTTATCAGGATGTTGCTGCGACTGGAGGGTTTGAGTTATAAGGAGGGCCTGAATTAGCTAGGTCATTTTCACTTGAGCTTAAGAAACTGATGGGTGACCTCACAGAGGTTTATAAAATTGTGAAGGGCATAGATAAAGTGAGTAGCAAAAGGTCCAATTCTAGGCTGGGGGAGTTAAAAACTAGAGGGCACATTTTGAATGTGAGAGGAGAAAGATTTTAAAGCGACAACTTTTTCACACAGAGGGTGGTTCGTATGTGTAATGAACTGCCAGAGGAAGTGGTAGATGCAGCTACAGTAACAACATTTAAATGACTTTTGTTTAGGTACATGAATAGGAAATTTTTTGAGGGATATGGGTGAAATGCAGGGCAATGGGACTAGTTTAGTTTGGGGAACTTGGTTGGCATGGACAAGTTGGACCAAAGGGTCTGTTTTTGTGCTACCTGACTCTATGACTCAAAGTTTACTTCCTCCCTCTTCATTATATTTTTGGTCACATTTTATTGATCTGTAAAAACTCTTCCAATCTACTTGCTAATCACTAATCCTTGTCATATTGTACATTCTTTTTCATTCAATCAAATGCTCTCCATAATCACTCTGGTTAACCATAGTTGGCTCGCTCCCTTCCTAAAATGCTACTTCCTCACTGGAATATAGCTTTCCTGCAAGCCATGAACTGTTTTCATAAACATCTGCCATTGTTCTTCAACCATATTTGTTGCTAAACTACCTTACCAGTTCATTCCAGCCAGCCCTAGACTCTCCTGCATCTAACCTATCAAGTCCCCTCAGGATCTTACATTTCCAATAAGGTTGCCTCTAATTCTTCTCCAACAGGACCAATCGACTTGATGCTTCCTCATAAAATATTATGCTTGGGTTCAAGCTAATAAATCACTTCTGGACTGCTGCCAATGCCACTACACCTTTTCT